CTCTTTCCTCCTGTTCTACTACAAACAGGCAGAATTTCTTCCCAAACATGGATAAGGTTGGTTGTAACTGAACAATTGCCTGCTTTTGTGGCATCTTGGGCTACTTAGTACTTTGCTGACACTCTGTGGCTGTACACTGCAAAAGCGAACAACTTCATGAACATTTGTGGCATTCTTACAGAGGGACTATGGTATTTTTTTCCTGCTCCATTGTAATTTCAGTAAGTATGTTCCATAATATGGGCTAGGATTGCTCTCATATGAAAACTTTCCTTTTTATAGATAGAAGAACTTGAGCTACGTAAGGTATGCTCTCCTTGAAATCACTCTCTTTTAGCCAGATGTGTACACTGCACCATATACATGAATGTAAAATTTTTACACTTTCATAGTAAATTAGAATAGGTACAATACAAATCACTGGTATATCAGCATACCATTACAATAGGGAGTGTAAAGCAAGTCTTCCTAAACACATTCAACACCAGATTTCAAAGCCACTGAATAGAGTAAGATCCCCCTCTTTCCTCATTACTTGCCTGTTCCACAGCTCAAGGTCTTGTCCCAACAAAAGTCTACAGACTCTCCCCCTGAGACACTCTTTTTTTCTCTTTCAGCAGTACTGAAAAGCCCTACTCATGAAGAATTTACTATGGTTGAGAGAGCAAAAAGAATGTTTTTAACCCAAACGAGACACTGTAGATATAGAAATATATTGAAAAATTTATAAAAAGCATAAAAAGCATCAAAAGAATGCAATACTACTGCTAAAGCACTTTCATTGAATTCTTGGTGGATACATATTTTTCTTTAGGCAAAAAAATATGGCCATCCCATGAACAGGTGCAAGGAGTAATTGATACTGAATACCCCCATTTTAGAAATGAAATTTTATTTTTCTATCACGACTGTGTCCTCCTTGGCTGTTCAACAAACATAGCAGTTACACTGTCAGGAACAAGCACATACAGAGATAATATGAATTGCTCTATGAATTGCTCTGACTTTCAGCATTTGGATAGAAAATAATTCTTTTTGCAGTTTATTTACCAGTTGTTGCAACATAATGTGACATACATACTAACACACTTCTGTCAATTCACTTTACACCAGGAGATATCAATAAACAACAGTTCTGTATACCCTGTTGGGAATCTTTCTATCAAGGCTTGCACCAGCATTGGCTGTTTGGATACAGTTTGTACACAATTGTACATATGTATAATTACACATATTTGCTACTTTCTGAGCCCTTCAATCTTTCTTTTCTCTTTGCACAGTACCACACCTTTGATGAAGAATGTAAAATGACTCACATCATATACAAAAAATATAATCCGTGTTAGGATGCTCATTTGAGAATCAGGTGGCATCTCTGAAATTTAAGGAAGGTTTTCTAATTCCTAGACTATTTTTCTCAGAAATTATAAAAAAAAGTGAAGGATCAATGAAAATCAGCATGATTGCTACCTGTGAAGATTGACTTCTCTCGGACAGACCTACCAGATCCAATCTTTTACATACATTTAAGCATGTAACTTGTTTCTTGGTGAATTTCTGTCCTGGGTTCAGCTACAGCAGTCATTTTTTCTCCTTCTTAGTAGCTGGTGCAGTGCTGTGGTTTTGACTTTCAGCCTGGGAACAGCGCTGATAACACCAATGCTTTTAGTTGTTGCTAAGTAATGTTTACTCCAACCAAGGACTTTCTCAGTCTCGTGCTCTGCCAGGGAGGAGGGGAAGCCGGGAGGAAGCAGAGACAGGACACCTGACCCAAACTGGCCAAAGGGCTATTCCATACCACAGCACGTCATGCCCAGTACATAAAGTGCGGGGAGTCACCCAGAAGGGGCAGATCGCTGCTCAGGTTGGGCTGGGTATTGGTCGGCGGGTGGTGAGCAATTGCATCCTCTTCCCTAGTTATTTCCCTTATCATTATTATTATTGGTGGTAGCAGTAGTGGTTTGTATTATACCTTAGTGACTGGACTGCTCTTATCTCAGCCCGTGGGAGTTACATTCCTCCGATTCTCCTCCCCATTCCTCTGGGAGTGGAGGGAGGAAGAAGGGGAGGCAGTGCATGAGCAGCTGCGTGGTTCTGAGTTACTGGCTGGGCTTAAACCACGACGGTTTCAAAGAGTCTTTAGTAGGAAAAAGATCTGGAGTTGACCCAAGAAGGTGGGTCCTCAGCAAGAAAAACAAAGAACTAAGGTAATTTTTTTCTCTGCAATAGGCCTGACTGCTGGGACTAGGTTTTCAGACTAAGCAGGGAGAGAATCACACGGTTCCACTCTAAGAGCAGTAAAGATTTGGGTTTATCAGTTGAAAATGCAGTCTTCTGAGTGCTTACAGGTCAAAGATGAGGCTTGCTCTGAAATTGTAACAGACATAGATTCTTGAAAAATATAAAGAAACACAGCAGCTAAAACAGAAAAGTAAAGAACACATTACACTTCTGAATATAAGTTTTTGTGAAGAAAGAAAAAAAAGAAAAAACCCTAAAAAGGTCCTCAAAACTATAGGAGAAAACAAAATTAGTCTATTCACCCAATTTCTAGTAAAAGGTTACTGTACATGTTCTGTAGATAGTAGTATATCTTCAGAAGCAGTGTATACACAAAAGCATTTCTACTTCTAAACCATTTTTGTTTTCCCTGATCTTTTAAACTTTTTTTTTTGATGCTGAAAATTTTAAATTCAGCTGGAATAAGAGGAAATGCTGGAACTGTAGGGATTTTTACTTTCAGAATAAGAAGCGTTCATTAACATGACATCCCTTTGTAGTTATTAGTCCATTTTATATTGAAGAGGTATATTAACTCCACCACAATTCACAAGTATCAGCATAAGAAACAAAACAGATACTAAGAAAGCTGTTTATGTAGGTACTCTTTACTTCCTTTCATAGGTTTCTTCAGCAGAAATTATGACAAGAACAGCTTTTAATACCGTTTTCTAGTGGAAGAGACATGGATGACTCCAATCTGATGTCATCTTGGTCATGACGTGTGTGATTAGCAGCCAAACTGGCCCACTGTGATACCCAACGTTTACTTCCAGGGGCAGTAGAACCTTCCTAAGAAAGAAAAAAAGAAGAAAAATTACAGCAGTTTGATAAAAAGCATGTCCCCTTCCCAGGTTTTTCCTGAATATGTCAGACACTATGTCCCTGGAAGAAGTTGAAGAAGGAGTTTACCTTGGTATGTTTTACAGTTACCAGCTCTAGAATGGCAAAAAACCAAAATTATACAGCCGCACAATCAGCACTGAATAAAGAACATATCCTAGTGCAGCAAACTCTTAAACATCAGAATCTGTATCAAACATACAAGTTTTAAAACAAGGTTATTTTAGTCCTCAGCTCAGGGGTGGGGTGTGGAAGTATGTGTGTTAAATATGTTTAAGGAAGTCAAGAAAGTGACATTTTACCAGCTTAGAAGACCTCCTTGTCCAGATTAACTACTACATTTACTTCATTACAGAAAGACTACCTTAAGGACTAAAAGAGTAAGATAATTTATGATGGAAAGGAAAGGAAGATTAGGTTGTTTGGCCCAAACAAAAAAAAAATGGAAGCAACAATTCGTTTTAATCCATCCTACCGGGTAACTGTGAAGTCAAGGTAATCAGTATCGGATCATATTTTGTGGCCAACCTAGAAAGGAAATTAACTTACTTCCTTGACAGTAACTCTTTCGAACCCCCAGAAAGTTTTAAAATGTAAAAAAAAAATAAATATAAAATTAAGCCATCTTTTTAATCTTGTGTTGTTATAGTATCTTAATTAAAAAACAAACAAATCAACCAAAACAGAAAAGCACCCTTATTTCCAAATTTAATGCAATATTACTGTTTTATCCAATATATTGTAGTTTCTCTCACGCACATCTCCCCAAAAAGACAGCAGGCAACTGTTGATGTATATATGTGTGCACCTGCACATGTGGGCTGTACACTGTCAAAGACTATATAGAAGTTTACATAGTCTAATTTATTGGACTCAAAAGACAAAGAAGTGTAAATGACAGAACTTGTTGACTACAGTTCCAAAGGAGTTACATAACCATAGGCAAGTCAAACAAGAAATCACAATTTAAGACCAACGAAGAGAGATGGAAGGGACATGGAAACACCAGTAAGTTGTTTCATAAGGAGATTTGTAGGAGTTATTTCAAAAGTTACCTGAAGCTCTGCTGCCTGTTCATATCTTGGCACTACTTTTCAAAATGGTGATTTTTGTCTAATCCCTTGGCCACTCTGGGATTTTAGTCTTTGACCAGGAACCAACTCAATAAATTTTCTAAGATTTATTTTGCAGCAATGGAATGGTGAACAATGTCATCTGGTGTTACTTCCTTCAAATTAAAAGTTACTTAGATATTTGAGAAGACTTGGATTTATGACCTTGAATTTCTCCCGATTAAACGAACGACCTTAATTAACGCACACAAGTGGAACATCACAAATCTCTTTCAGAATATTACAAATGTAGAAAGTCAGAGACACATCAAATAAGTTATTTGACTTATGCATATTTCCACATTGTGAATTCATTTCTTAGAATCAAAATGTTATAAAATACAAGTCTAACAACAGCAAATGGAAGCAACTGAATGTTTCTGTTATTTATTGGCATTTTTGAACACAATGCAAGGAAAAGGGTGCTGAAAGAATATTACAAAACCCCCATGCAAATATATGCAGCATTTATAGATTGACAACTACTGCTGAAGCCTCATTTTTCCTTCATATCTCTAAACTTTCTCTATTTCCTGCCTGTACTAGTGAACTTCCATCTTCAAGAAACCTATTAATTACAGCCAAACCAAAATATGACAGACATCCCCACTTCCTTTGTTACAGAAAACACCAACCAGTTCCTTGTGTACTGCCAATTCCAGAGACAGACATATGATAAGTATTAGAAATCTGAACTCTACTTCACAATAAATATATTATGACTTTGCAGATTAGCTATAGTAAAGCAACATAATATTTTTCTCTGAAAATAATCACACTGCAAAAAAAAAAAGTGTTCTACTTAGCAGTGGATGTAAATGTGTACTCTGACAAATCTACATACTAAAGCACAAAAACTCTGAAAAAACTATGAAAAGCAGCTTCTTTTGATAGTAGTCTAAGCACATCCAAAAGGTCAAAGGTTTATAAAACACACATTACAAAAAGTCACATTCAGTTATCCTAATGTTCTTCCTATAATCCATATCCATTTTTAGGAAAGTAAGCAATCCTCCAAATCTACTCTTGAATACCAAAAGGAATTTCCCAGTCTTTCAGAAAAGCTGGGTTCATGTAAGAGATATCAACATTTCAACTTCCGTGTTAAATCTGCTTTCCCTTTTGCTTATTGCATATACAAACTAAATCGGACTAACAGATCTTCATTAAATGGACCAGTGGATTTCTGTGGATTTATTATTCCAGCCTGAAGATTTAGGGCTTCAGGTTCTACATCTGAAAAAACTTCACAGCGCACACACAGGACACCTGGAAGTATCCATACTTGGCATTTCAAAGCAAAATAATTGGGTTTTTTTGAAATAAATTTCACCAAGCTGAATAAAAAAGAAAAAGAAGTCCTTTCAGACACATACTCCAGTCATCTCATGTTGTAAGAATTGTATCATGCCATCCTTTCATAAACTGAAGTGCTGTCTTGAAAGCAGTTCTTTCAGTGCCTCCTCACTCTAACTGCCTCAGGACCATATTCTCCAGGGGTGACGATTTTTTTTTCAAATTTCCATGCTCACTTATTTAAAGCCAATGTCTTCACATTCGTTCCTGGAACAACACTGACATCTATCTCAAATAGCTCTTTTTCTTCTGATGCATTTAGTCCTCTTATACAGCAAACCCCAGCAACTATATCCATCTCAGCCACTACTTTGCTATACTAAATGAAAATGAACTGTATCAATCCGTTCTTGTGAAGTCAAACTCTATGCCCTTAATAATCTGAGTCATCCTCTTTGTACCTTCTCTAATCTTGTATTCACCCTTCTTAATCAAGAAGGGTGCTGCTAACAATTCTACGGCCACTATTTCAGAGGAAATTTCACCAGCGCTTTCTACCATGGCAACAACACTGACCTCTTCTACTTAACAATACATTGTTCCAAGGTCATATTTGCCTTTTCACAGCCACATGATACTAGTGACACAATCATCCTATGTTTCAGTATAGCATCTAAGTTCAAACAAAAAGTAAGCATCAAACTTCAGATCAAATAGTTTGCTCTACAGAAGGGCAGGAAATTAGTGTAATTAGGACAAACAAAAGGAAATACAGCCTCTGAATACACACAGCAGTTCTCTGCTTCTGGAAAGCAATATAGCAAATATTTACACAAATGAAATTATTCAGAATTCAGAATGTCAGCAGTATTATTTCTTTTATCTTCAGGGGGAAAGACATGAAATGAGCATTCAAAACAGGAAAGGAACATTGTAATTAATGGCACTGGTGACCCTGCAGATGCAGAACCAGGTTTCATCTAAAAAATGCAGCAGCCTTATCAAAAAATTTAAAAAACTCCAACACAAACCAAACAAAAACCAGGTATGTTCTTAGAAGCACATCAAAGACAATGTTGTTAAAGCAGGTACATTTTTTAAGAACTGTGGTTAGCACAGACAACTGACCACTGAAAATTAAATGGAAGCTGGATGTATAAATCAGAGCCAAAATGTCTACAATGTTATTATTAATCAAGCTTACATAGTAAGAATAAATAACAAGAACAACAACAATATCCTCTTTGTTATCTATCTTATTGAATTTTTGTTCTTAAATCACACTTACCTCGGTTGGCAAGTGGCAGCTTATAATATAGAAAATAAAAACATTTAAATATTTTAAATAGATGGATTTAGTATTTTTTACTGCCTATCTGTAATCACTGAAAAGGCAGGAACCAGTGCATGCAGGCTCAATCCAACTGTGTCAGACATGCACTCTGCATTACATTTAGTCTCATGACATACACTACTCCAAAGTACCAAAGCTTGTCATATCAAAGGAAAAGCTGAGAATTTCCTTTTAAGAAAAGCAGTCTTTTAGGTTCTTTCCAAACATGTTATTCATGATACTTCACAAACCCTGTAAAGTTAAGATACATAAGTTCAGAATAATCTTTCAACCCCAAAATTGTTCTTATAGGATCTTCATAATTTCCCAAGCCATCTTTTCCATTTTCTTGAATTGAAATATCTTAAACTTTTATTCTCTGCTTTTTCTATGTCAATCATATTCTACATTTTGCCTCATTCTGCTAAATCATCTAGAGGTACAACTGTGATGGGCAGCTGGAAGAAGGTCTACGCAGAACCTGAGTGGATGCAAGTCTTGAACACTGAGCTACCCTGAGGTTACCTGACTATTTAGCCAAGATATTCAACAAGGTTTATTAACTTATGATCTGCAGCCTGGTAATGCAGTAAGTCTCCCAAAAACCACAAGCAGAAAAGTTTGTACATAATGAGAACATGATACCCACATATTTTACAAATCAAACACACTTGCCTCTCTCTCTACCTTTATAATGATAAAACAAACTGAGTGTAAGTTCTAGTAATAAGACTTGAAATATTACAATATTCTCTCAAGAGTTATTCTCATTATTGTTTTCCCATTATGATACTACAAAACACACCTTTATTTTTCAGATTTTTTTCTGATTTAGCTTTTCTTTTACATACATATCAAACAACTTCTATTTTTAACTTTCTCTGGTAAGCTTTTTTCCATCTTCATCTGTCCTCTTCTTACACTAATTCTTTCTATATACACATTGTTTCTGTCAGTTTTGATCCTTTACCAACTGAACAATTTTAATTTTTTCCCGTCATCTCTTGTAATTATCTTGTAAATTAAGACTATGCCAAATAACCCATTCCCTTTCTATGTACACCTTTGTATTCAGCAAAGCATCCACAGTAATAAAAAGGCACAATTCTTGCAATTTCAGCCTAAATCAAAGCAAGTTTTAGTATGCCATTGCCAGAAGGATTCTTACACCTGCCCTATGACTGCAGAAGTCTCAGTCTTCTAAAATTAAACCCTGTTATTTGCAAAATATGACACCTGGAAAGGTAGATTATGTTCATAAATCATATATTCTTCTGCTGCTTATAAAATTACAGAAATACTTTTAAAACTCTTGAAAACTGATACAGCACAAAAAAGCTGACTGCTGCAAAAGCCATGAAAAACAAGAGAGAGAGAGACTGTAGTTATAAATTCATGCAAAGAAGCAAGGCGAAAGCCAAAGTTTGTCAAATTCTTCCACATAAAATGACCATGCTGTATGGCAATAATTTACTCCAAGCAGCAACCTTAGGGAAACTAGTCAAAGATAGTAACCTAGATGCAGTAACATACTTAGTGTATCAAGACTGCACAACAGCTAAAATACAACCATGAGAAAGCAGACCTCCTCTAGGAGGAACAGATTCCTAGATACTAAACCCAATGTATTCACATGGCAGGCACACAAAGTTATACTTTAAGCTCTTGATATCTTCCAGAAGATTTGCTTATTTATGAAGTTTGCTAATTTACAGGATCATACTTCAGTAACAGTTTGCCATGGCAAGTAGAAGAGTGGTATGCTTCGTTACTGTTACCAGATTAATTCTGCTCCAGTGTGAGCCTGTTCTGTTCCCAACACATTTCAAGTTATAGTTTATCCATGACAACGACATTAGAATGTCACCCAAGATTTCAATATGAAATACAATTAACATCTAGCTTGCGTGCATATTCTGAGTCATATACAAAGAACAGGCATTTTCCTTTTCCTGATCTTTCACCAACTGATCAAATTATATTCCTTCCGAGGCAAGTGGCTCCTCATGAGTGGCATCTCACTTGAGAACTCAAACTGTGAATATAAAAACCTGGAGCTCTCTGGCTTTGCAAAAAAATCTGAAATGTATTATCCACCATTTTCTTCCTAGCTGACTTTGTATCACACATTAAACGCACACACCTTATTTCTGAATTTTAATATAGCTACTTGCTTTAGGCTAAAAAACATAATCAGCTTTTCCTCAGTTCTGCTGCATAACTTACAAGAAGTGTATGCTGTACAAATGTATGTTGCAATATAATGTTGTAAGGAAGCTCTTGCTACATTTCCAATACGCTGGTGTTAGTGCACATAGAAAGGCAGCAAAGTTGAAAACCTTCACAATGTAATGTACCTGTCTCTGACAGAGAAGTTGTGATAATGCAATAAAGGCCTAAGAAAAGTAAAATATTTATAAATCTGAGCTAATGTTTTCCAGGCATAGTTTTGTTTGTTGTTTAACACTTACTGGTCACTTATTAGTGCTCTCTCTTATTGGAAGAAAAAAGAAGACCTTCAAAAATTAAATTCTACCTCTGTGTCAAGAAATCCAGTTGTACTCAGTGGTCTTTTTTCTTCCAGCACTACTGTAGCAGAATTTATAGCCCAATCTTTTACTAAATCTTTCTGGTTCTCGTTGATAACAGGCCTATTATAATCCTGGCTGTCATCCACTCCAAATACCTGAAAATGAAACAAACCATTACATAAATTAACCCAATACCATCCTCATACAATGTTCAATGTTAATGGATGGATGGTGGCATGCTGGATAGTGAGTTTGAATAGCTTTTGCTGTATTATGCTTATCTGTCATCTTGGTGAAATCTACAAACTAAATAGAAAAAATATCTACAGCAATTATAAAAAGAGCAGAACTCTATGTCAACATTGTGAAAAGTCAAGGAACTGCTAGTTGGAATGGTCAGGTGTGTAAAAATGACACTTAGATGAAAGAAACAGAAGGTAAAGGCAAAATCTTAACAAAACCCATTCGACATTCAATTTCCCAATTAAGGAAAAAACCAATCACTGGAACCACCTCATTTTTACATTTTTGCTATTACCTAATGAAAACAAGAAATACAAATGCTTATATGTGTTATTAATATGTTGATTTGTTTCTCTAATACAAATAGAATTTCAGTTTTTAATTTGTTAGGGACTTAGCAGATGTTAGAAGTCCACCAGGTTTCACAAGCCATGTAGACTCATCTCATTCAAGATGTGACTTGCCATAGTTGCTCTACTACGCTCTTTCCTACTGAAGTTTGTATTGATCCCTTCTGCTTGTGATAGAAAAATTTTTCCATGACATTTAAAAACCATTGCTCAGAGAAAAGTACTAGAAAAATGTTATTACCAAGGCACTTTAGTAATAAGGACTTAAGCAGGAAAGCCAGTATATTGTCCATCAAATTTCTTATGAGTCATAGATACTAAGGAATATGAATTGCTTTCAGAATCAATGCATACTTCAAAGATTATTTTAGATAATATTTTGTATGTTGGAAACATAATTTATAAAATCTATCAATTTTTGCCTAGGCATTAAATTCAATACTTTACAACTAAGAACTTGGGAATTAAAAAAAAATTACAGAATAAAAATGGAAACACACACAGAGATTAAAACCTGCTGCTAAATCAAAAATTGTTTTGTCGTAGAGAAAGACAAAGATAATGAAAGAAGGAAATTAATTCCATCGAGGTTATTCTCCTGTAAAAAATACTACTACTGCAAAGGACAAAAAGACATACAGAATTATTTTTTCCCCCTAACTGTTCTGTAATTCAGTTTTGCACAGCAAAGCCAGAGGTTTATTAAAAATCTGAACAAGTTTAGTGTATTTTAAATGGATTCACCACTAGATGGCCACAAACAATAATGGTTTTTAGTGTCTGACAAGTAGATGAAGGAAAAAAAAATTACAATCAGGCACCCTGTCACTTAACCCCTGCTTATGCTCTTCTAAATGTCCAGAAAGATGTTGCTACAGCATTTATACATTTATAACTGAGGAAGCTTTTTCAAACGCTTTCTGCAATTCCAAAATTCAGGCAGTGCTCCCAGATTTTCAATCTATACATTAATCAAGACTACATATACTTCTGATTTGTACAGTTGTGGCAATTTTTGAAGATACAAACCAGTTATTGTCCACTGCCTCCTTTCTTTGAACACACCACTATTCTGCAGCCAGTTTTTTTCCTGTTTAATGTAGTTCCATTGATTAGATTATGTGTTCCTTTAAATGAAAGGAAATTCTGATTTTATCACATAAGCACTTGAATAAGAATATGAATTCAACAATTCCATCTAATCAGGACTGCAGGAGTAAATTGCTGCCTGTAAATTGTTTCATATTATTACCTGGTGGCACATTCATTTACCATGTCAAATTCCTTGACTTGTATCACAAACAGCAGCACACATGGCTTCTTTCAGTTTTACCTTTTCTAGTACTGAAATCCTATTTAAGCAAATCTTGTTATTTTTGTTCTATTACTGAAATTACTGCAAAACCAAATTTGAATATTGCCTATTTTTACTGTGAAAGGTAATATGGGTAGCAGTTGACCCAAGTAATAGATTTAACTCCTAATACTACTCCTAATGCTCCCTCTGTATATATAGTGGGGATATTACAGGCCAGAAAAGATAAGCAAAACATCTGGTAACACTAGTACTACAAAGGGAAAGCATCTCCTTCAATAAATGTAAATTTTTGCACTACACATTCATTCCACATCTGGGAGCACTGGTATGTGCATGCACCTGCCCTAAGTTCCATGGCCACACAACTGTAAAGCTCCTCTTCTTAGCAACAAAGAAAAGATTCACACAAGTGCGATCTAGCCCAAAAGACTATGTTTCAAAACTGTGATATATATAAAACCCCTTTGAAAACAACGCCATTAATGCATAATTAAGACTTTAAATATAAAAGCCTATGCAAAAACCAAAACAACTCATGTTTAGTGTTTGACAGTATCTCTTACACACCTGTCACATGTCTGCAGAAAATGAATACTATCAGAATTTCAGGATCACTATTCCACTTAGTACACTGTTCACTAAATAATGAGAGTATAGCCTCAACAGAAACAGCCATGGTATAACCTTAAGGTTTATGCTGGATATCATCTCTCTACCATTTAGGAAAATGTAGTTTGTACTTTATAGTTTGTTCTGATAAGGTACGTGTACAAACAATGGGCTGTTGTGATTGAAGCCTGAATGGAGACCTCTATCTTCCTACAAATACTGAAAAATATTCTTCAAGGCTTCCAAGTCTTCAGTTGATTCTGTTCTTTTAAGTATCTTCATGATTTCAAAGTCGTTTAGGGAAATCTAGGAGATAACTTAACCGAACCAAAAAAATCCTGAGGAAATGCTGATGACACCCATCGCTGCATCTTTTATATATATTTATACAAAAAGACTGAAGTTTCTTTCTGTAAAGCTTGTATTTTTTCAGAAGCAGCAGCTACAGTTTGAAACAGAAGCAACTACCACATGTATCTTGATTAACTGTATTTTAGGGAAGAAAAAGACGAAGCCAGATTCCACAATACAGGTTTGGACACAGCAAGGTGTTTGAAACATGAGAAGAATGCCTTTTTTGTTTTATTTTTGATAAACAAGGTAAAAGGATTCTATGTGTTCATTTAAAACTTCAAGAACTTTCCTAACCACCTCAAATCACACATATCCAGCACACAGCTATGAGTGAAAAGAATAGTTTCATAAAACTTTTACACATTTTTGTATCACTGTAAACAATAAGGACTTTCACAAAATCATGCGTTTTTAGAGAGAGTTTGAGGTTTGAGGAGTAACAAATTTATTTTTTAACTTAGGTAGCAGTATGTACTGTGAAGAAAACAATTCCTAGATTCTTATTTTTTTTTAAACAGATACTAATGCTAGTTCTTTAAATAGAAGTAATTAAACAACCAAACTACCAGAGAAAGGTATTTCCAAGCTAACAGCTTCCTACAAGCAATCATTCTGGAAAGTTAGTTTTCTGCCCTACTCTATTTTTATGAAATTGTATTTTAGCAGAAAGACTAGATTATTTCATCCTGAATGCTTCAAGTTTGCTACAAGATTAAAAAAAAAACCCAAAAAAACATAACCCAAAAAACATAAAAAACCCAAACAAAAAAAAAAAAAACAACCCCAAACCAAACAAACAAAACTCCCACACAAACAAAATGAAAAGCCAACCGCCCAAAAAAAAAAAAACCAACCCTAAAAACCAAGGATAATAATTTTCCCAGAATCCCTGAAATCTGACTCACAGGGAATAATCTAGGCACTGTACCAATCCGCACCATTACAAGGGGTTCCTGCAAGGTCTTTGCCACATGGCTGTAATGGCAGAACTGTCAGAAACATTGTATAAACTGTGGTGGTGGTGTTTAAAAATAACTACTTTATTGTTATGAAGCATGAAACAATTTCCATTGCAAATCAGGACATTTTGAATAGCAAGGGAATAACAACATTGCTGTAGAAAGAACAAGCCTCACTTATGAAATGTAGTTCAACATAATTTTGTTCAACCTGAAAACCAGTTGACCTCTTAAACAAATGGACCAACAGGTCAGACTGCATTTAGTTTTGATCCTCCCTGGTACACAAGAGACACTGTCTAACTGGAAGGGTCTCAGCAGGGCCTGTGTGGAGAGGCTGGGCAAGCTGTACTTGATCATTTTGGAGAAGGAAAGACTTTGGAGGTGCCTAACAGCAGCCCCCCAGTACCAACGGGGAGCATATCAAGATGATAGCCAGATTCATCACAGTGGAGCATGGCAGAAGGACAAGGGATAACTCACGTAAGTTGAAACAAGAAAGGTTCAGACAGGATATAAAGAAAAGCTTTTTCACTTCAAGGACAGCCAAACAAGTCTCTGTCCTCGTAGGGCATGAAGACCCAAATGCATAAAGTCCTGGGCAACCTGTCTGACCTCAAAGTTGGTCCAGCTTTGAGCAGAGGGTTGGACTAGAGACGTCCTAAGGTCTTTTCCAGGTTCTGTGATCCTACAATCCTTAGTAACAGTGATCTTAGATAATAACTTAGCATCTCAGGTTAGCCTTCTAGCTCAAAGAGTCAGTCTTGAGAAAGCCCAAAGGGAAATCCCTTGATTTCTCTGTTGCTGAACTGCTAACACTATAGCTGACATATAATAAAGTCTCCTAAATCATTAGGGGACAACAGAGTTCCTGACACATACATTTAAATTTCAGAGCAATGAACAGTAAGCTCTCCAAAGACGCTCCTGTGGTGCTCCATTTACATTCCGTGGTTTGATCAGTAAAAGAAAGGGACAAAACACCAGGCTAAAAATACAAGAAGTCCCAAAGCATCATGCTGTTACTCGCTGGAATGCAAACTCAGCCTGATAAGTACAGATGTGAAGTATGAAATAACTGATGGCAAAACAATTGCACCTCAATGTCGATAATAATAAACATAATCACTTTATCTCAGCAACAGTTTTCCCAATATTGTAACTGAAAATATAACTAATTTCTAAATAATAATTTCTAAAATTTTTATCCAGTAAAAACCAAGAATCAACAAAATCTATGTAACACAAGATGCAATCATTGCAAGAAGCCTTAGCATATTTTTGGGGTCATGAGCTACAGGACCAAATCTGATCATGTGCCT